AACTTTTGCATTTCAGTCATCAGTGATAATCCACACATCTTGTGTTTGCTCAATTTCAGACTGCAGAAGTTGGTAGAAATCTTTGGCTTTGGTGGTTGGTGCACAGATTTGAGTAACAGTAGTATTAACTGGTCTTCCTTGTAGGCTTATGGATATTATCCTATCACTGACAGTGCTGTATTTCAGGACAGATCTTGAAACAGTCTTTGTTACGATGAATGCCACATCATTCCTCTTCAATTTGTCATTTCTGGCACAGCAGATCATAGAGCTGTCTGATTCAAAATGGCCAAAACCAGTTCATTTCAGCTCACTAATGCCTAGGATATTGATCTTTATGTGTTCCATTTAATTTTTGACAACTTCCAATTTTCCTAGATTCATATTTCATACATTCCATCTTCTGAGTATTAATGAATATTTGCATTTGTTTCTACTCATTTTGAATTGTGCCACATTAGCTAATGGAGGTCCCAGATGGTTAACTCTATCCATATTGCCAAGGTCGTCTCTACTCTGAGAAGTCACCTCTTCCCCAGTCTAATTCTGAGTGCCTTCTGACCTGAGGGGCTCATCCTCCGGCACTACATCAGACAATGTTTCAGGGCTATTCATAAAGTTTTCCAGTAATATATCAGACAGTGTTTCACTGCTATTCATAAGGTTTTCACTGGCCAATTGTATGAGAAGTGGATGGCCTCTTCCTTCTTCTGAGTCTGTCTTAGCCCGTAAGCTCTGCTGAAACCTGTTCACCATGGGTAACCCTGCTGCCATTTTACAACTGGTAGCATAGCCTCCAGCTTCACAGCAACACATAGCCACCACAGGATGACAAATTGACAGACAAGTTCATCTCCCTTAGTTATTTCTAACTGCTTTGCGCCCACCTACCTTGGGCCCCAGCCTTACAGTAGATAGGGCTGCCCCCAAGTGAAGTAGCCCCGAGCCAGGTGCCTGCCTACCTCGGGCCCCAGCCTTGAAATAGATAAGAGCCACTCCCAAGCGAAGCAGCCCTGAGCCCCATGCTCGCTCACCTTGGGACCCAGCCTTAAAATGGATAGAGCTGTCCCCAAACAAAGCTGCCCCAAGCCCAGCACCTGCCTGCCTCAGGCCCCAGCCTTAAAGTAGTTAGAGCCACCCCAAAGTGAAGAAGCCCTGAGCCCCGCACCTGCCTACCTCAGGCCCCGGCCTTAAAGTAGTTAAAGCCACCTCCAAGTCAAGAAGCTCTGAGCCCCGCACCTGCCTACCTCATGCCCTGGACTTAGATAGAGCTGCCACCAAGCAAAGCAACCTTGAGCCCTGTACCCACATAGCTTGGGCCCTGGCCTGTGTGTATAAACATACAATATGATATTATTCAGTCATAAAAAGGAATGAATTTCTGATACATGCTACAACACAGGTAAACTTTGAATACATGCTGAGTGAAATGTCAGGCACAGAAGGGCAAGTATTATATGATCCCACTTATATGAAGTATCTAGAATAGGCAAATGCATGGAGACCAGGGGCTATGGGGATGATGGGGAGTTACTTCTTAAGAGACACAGAATTTCTGTTTATAGTGATGTAAAACATTTGGGAATGAATAGTGAAGATGATTCATGTGGAGAATGTGATTAATATTCACTGTATAGTTAAAATGGCAAGTGTTTTGTTATATAAATTTTACCACAATTAAAAAAAAAAAAGGAACCCTAAAATAGTGGCTTTCAAACTTTTAGGACTATTACTGCCAATAACAAATCCATTTTTCACTGTAATTTGGTACACACATATGTAACTAAGACATATAACTCAAACATCAGGTTCACAAAACTATGTCATTGTTAGTACTGTTGAATCAGTTCTGACTCATAGTAACCCTATGTACAAAAGAACAAGACAGTGTCCCATCTTGCAACATCCTCACAGTCACTGCCATGCTTTAGCCCGTCGTTATAGCCACTGTGTCAATCCATCTCATTAAAACTCAGGTTGAACCCTCTACTTTACCAAGAATGATATCCTTCTCTAGGGACCAATCCCTTCAGACAACATGACCAAAGTAGATAAGATGAAGTTGAGCCATTCTTGCTTCAAAGGAGCATTTCAGTTGTACTTCCTCCAAGACAGATAGGGTTCATTCTTCTAGAAATCCATGGTATATTCAATATTCTTCGCCAACACAACAATACAAATGCAGTCTTCTTTATTCACTGTCCAGCTCTCACATGCATATAAGGTTACTGAAAATACTATGGCTTAGATCAGGCACACCTTAGTCTTCAAAGTAACATCTTTGGTCTTTGGCAGAAGATTTGCCCAGTGCAATATGTCATTTGATTTCCTGACTCCTGCTTCCGTGGGTACTGATTATGGATCCAAGTAAAATGAAATCCTTGACAACTTCAATCTTTTCTCCAACTATCATGATTTCACTTACTGGTCCAGTTGTGAGGATTCTTGTTTTCTTTATGTTGAGATATTATCCATATGAAGGCTATAGTTTTTCCTATCTTTATCAGTAAGTGCTTCAAGTCTTCTTCCTTTCCAGCAAGCAAAGTTGTATCATCTGCATATTGCAGGTTGTTAATAAGTCTTCTTTCTCCAATCCCAATGCCACATCCTTCTTCATATAGTACAGCTTCTCAGATTATTTGCTCGGCATACAGATCAAAAAAGTATGCTGAAAGGATACAACCTTGATGCATACCGTTCTGATTTTAAACCAAGCAATATCCCCTTGTTCTGCTCAAATGACTGTCTCTTGGTCTATGTACAGGTTCCTCAGGAATACAATTAAATGTTCTGGAATTCTCATTCTTTGCAATTTTATCTATCATTCGTTATGATCCACACAGTTAAATGCCTTTGCATAGTCAATAAATCACAGGTGAACATCTTTCTGGTATTCTCTGATTTCAGCCAATATCCATCTGACATAAGCAATGATATTCCTCATTCCACGCCCTCTTCTGAATCCAGCCTGAATTTTTGTCAGTTTCATGTTGATATATGCTGCAACTATTTTTTAATTATCTTCAGCAAAATTTTACTTGTGTATGACATTGTTCAGTAATTTCCACATTCTGTTAGATCACCTTTCTTGGGAATAGGCACCAATATGTATCTTTTCCAGTTGGTTGGCCAGGTAGCTGTCGTCCGAGTTTCTTGGCATAAATGAGTGAGTATCTCCAGTGCTGTATCTGTTTGTTGAAATATCTCAATGACTATTCCATCAATTCCTGGATCCTTGTTTTTCACTAATGCCTTCAGTGCAACTGGACTTCTTCCTCAACACCATCACTACTTGATCATATGGTATCTCCTGAAATGGCTGAAGGTTGACCAATTCGTCTTGGTACAGTGATTCTGTATATTCCTTCACAAAACTATACTTATTAGTATAGTTGTATCTTATTAGATACAATAAACTGACATTTTTTTTCCCCACACTATTTGATTCCACTTCATTACAATAATGCTGATCTTGACCTACTATATTGATTTCACAACTCACGAACAGGTCACAACTCACTGTTTGCACACATCATCTCCTATTTTTCAGTGTGGGAAGCACACCATTGGTGAAACTCTAGACAATTTTAGATAAGATGGTTTTTGTTGAGGCGTGAGATGATTCTAGGTAGTATGTGGACATGGCATTAAATAACAGTGAATCATATTGTAAGAAAATTCCTTTCAGTTCTCTTTCAATCATTTTACTTAATGCAGAAGAAAGTTTCAGCCTCATGCTAGTATACCTTTAACATCTTTTACAAAGGCAAAATAAGTCTCATGCTTAATTCAAGCCTTTGATAAGCAGCAGAATCTAAGCTAGAATTTGTTTTTCAGTTTATCCAATTTTGGAGTAAAAATTTTAGCACATTCATGTAGTACAATTAAAAGGATCTAAAAGGATAGAGTAAAAGTCATCCACCCACGTCTCCCTCCCTCATCAGAAGCAATAAACATCACTTTACTATGTACTCATCCAGAGACATATTATGAAAGAGGCTTTTTTCCCCTCTTTTTAATATAAAAGGTAGTAGTCTATTTAGAATGTTTGGTAGGTTTTTTGCTAGAATTTAATAAAATTATTCCCAGAATTATATTTATTTTTACATTTACCTTGCATTTATAGTGTGTGATATAGGTTTTAATTTAAGGTAGTGATATAAGATTTCCTTTAAAGTGAACTTATGTAAAAAGAAATGAGTTAGCTTAAAGAAAAACACTAAGAAAACATTATACTCTTGGTATATGGGTATGGCAAAAACCACAATGTTGCCAGCAGACAACTGACTTTTAACAAACATTGTTTTAAAAAATAGGAGATCTCTTCCCAATGTCCCCAACAGGGAGTGACCTAGCTTCTGCCTGAACTATGACAGGCAATTCCCTGGCTCTCAAGTCAGTCCCTTTCACTACTAGGCAGGCAAACAGATTCTTTAGCTGCTTTTTGCATTGAGCCAAAACCTGCCTTCCTGCAATGTCCCCTGGACCTAGTGCTATTCTTGAGAGTGGTGACTTTCAAACCAGGTTTTTGAAGAACCTCAGGTTCGGGCGAGGCTGATCAGGAAAGGTCCTAGGGGAGCTGAGTTTTAATCTATTTTCTATATTAGCCTTCCAAATAATAAGATTTTATTGATAAAAAGGATTCTGCTAGGGAAAGAGGAAACTGAAAATTACTGTTCTAGAGAAATAGTGAACAAATCTACTTTCCATCCTCCACAGACACTAAAGGAAGAGAGGCTCTCTTCTCCTTAGACATCACTTCCCTGAAGATACACCACTGACTCTTCACCAAGCACCTGAGATACCCTTCTTCATGTACCTCTTTACATTCTGTTTTTCCTTTACTATTTATTTTCTAGGTGAGTGTCTATCTCAAATTTTGAGTAGCTGGAACAACATGGCTTATTCAAGGTCATAGATTGATAGCACCCAACCCCTCACTCTCATTTCAGAAAAGGGGAAAGGAAAACTGCAGATCCTGTGTGCTCTGGCTCACTCACCTGGTCGCTGGTAGGGGGGATTGGTGCATCTGAGCCTTGCCGCCTATGGTGCTGAGCCATTCTGGCCACGATCACAGGTGAGGTTCGCGGGCTGTCCAGCCCAGGGTCTGAGAGTACCGAGTTCCGATTCATCAATGACTATAGGAACAGAGAATTCAGTAAGGAGCCTAATCCAGAAGCTCACCTGGTGGTGCTAATCATACTCATAACATTGGTTAATATAAATTCAGTACTTACTCAGTGCCAGGCAAGATACTAAGCCCTTAATTATATATTACCTCATTTAATTCTCACAAAATCCTCTGAGGAGGTACTATAATTCCTCTTACTTTTCATAAGAGGAAACTAAGATTTGGAGAGGTTATGAGACTTGCTAAAGGTAAATAGTTAGCAATGTGGTATTCCCTGTATTCAATTTAGGCAGTCTCAGTTTGCAGCCCACATGCTTCATCACTAAACTACAATGCTCCCCAGGTATTGAGCCCTCAGGGTAATTGTAGAGCAGTGAATTAGTTGGTATGGGGACTAGCCACTGTCTTTGTAATGCCCACCAGATTACTGAGTGGGGCCCATGCAAATAAGATGTTTGGAACTCTAATGTAGGGATTGGATAGTTTTGTCAATCTGCTAGGGGTAAAATGAGCCCTCCCTGGAGGCAAAAGGAGGAGCTCTGGTGGCATGGTCCCTAAGGCATTTGACTGCTAACCAGAAGGACAGTTCAAACCCTCCAGCCACTCCTGGGAAGGAAGACAGGGCAATCTACTTCCATAGACAGAATGCCTCGGAAACGCAAGGAGAGGTTGCTATGAGTCAGAACCGACTCAACGGCAGTGAGTTTGGTTTTTTTTGAGAGGCAGAAGTGGGATCTCACTGCTTTCAAGAGAGAAGAACTGGAGGTGGACTGGAGTGTATCCTTGGACCCGAGATCCCTGAGCTAGACCTCCTTGGCAGAGAGATAGCAGAGATGACTGGCTGAGATGACTGCAGAGGAACCAAGAGCCATGATACAGAGCTGCGGGCTTGGCCAGCCCACGGGGCAAAAAAAGCTGAGTGCCTTTTCGCAGGAGGCTTGCTGGTGGAATGGAGTGTAGTGCATCTAGGTACCCCTGTCGGCAGCGTCCAGGCCAAAAGACCGAGAGTCAGGTTGGCATGCCTGAGGGCATAGGAGAGGAGAGACTGTTCTGATTGAAGAACTGTATCCTGAGAGTGTTCCTAACTGGGGCCTGTTACTTCCCTAATAAACTCCATAACTGTGAGTATTGTCTGTGAGTTCTGTGTGGCCACTGAAATGAATTATCGAACCCAACAGAGAAGTAGAAGAGAGTGCCATGGGGAGGGACTGTTGATGTCAGAAATGGTAAAAAGGCTAGGGGGTGGCAGCATGGCTGGCCTTGGGCTTCTGATGGTGATTCTGTCTCCCTGTCTTGAGGTTGGAGATCAGATGCCACCACCTCTATGTCCTTTCTGCAGTAATGTATGTCAACTCTAGATTATTTAGGATCTTGCCTTCCCTTTCTTGGTGACTCTCCCACATTCTTGTCCTTTCATATATATTCAGCATTTTCCCGTGGAAAGACAGAAGCAGGAATGAAGTAAAATTCCAACAGTTATCTGCAATAGGTTTTTAACATGCTTTCAACTACTTATTCACATATTTAATTAACCTAGCTAAGTAAATATTTTGCTAAAATTATTAGTACCTCTCCCATTTGTCCTTATTTTCATATTGAGTATGGAAACTCAAGACTACTTAGAAGGGATAACCTTTAAGGCCATACTCCTAATATTCTTTGACCATTTCAGAAAAGATGAACTGTTCAGGTAGAAAAAGATCCATGGAGCAGAAAGAGAGACTGCCACTTCTGATTAGGCCAGGTTCACTGTGTTAATCTAAGATGATGTTGTTCCCAGTCAGGTAAAAATGTGTTTCTGGTTGAGTCATCATTTTAGAGGACTTACGTCTCTGCTCCCTTATACTCAAAGGCTTGCTAGAGTTAACAACACAGTCTCACTCTCCTCCCTACTCTTTGTATAACAGCAATGACTATGATTTAAAAAAAAAAAAAATAGGCAGATTTGATGGTCTTCAAGGTAGGATGCATTTGAAACCCCCTCTTCTGGAGTTCAGGGCATAGTTGACTAAAATCCTTGGAAGCAGAACTATAGAAGTCTATAGGTGACAGGCCAGAAGCCTTGTGCAACTGGTGAGCAACAGAACCATTAGGGGCCTACAGGGATGCAGAATGTACATCTTGAAGCAGGCCCTGTCCCTGGAGGCACTCACTTCACTGAGGGAAGGAAAGCGTTCTGGTCCAGAGTCCAAGCCACTGTCCCCCTCCTGGGAATCGAGAGAGAGACGGCCTGAGGAGAAAATAGTGTATGCAGTAAGGAAAGAGCTGTGTTCCAGAGGAAAGAAAAACTTTATTCTGGGAACCTGTGCACAGGGCAAGAAAAGGAGAGCAGCCACCCCCCTTTCTTTCACCAATTTCCCTTTGGCTCTCTCATCTTATGACCCCTCAACTCAGATGTTCTCCTAGGCAGAACTATGCTCTACCCTGCTACACCTAGCTCTCATCTAACTCTATGGCTGTGCACAGGCCATGTCCCCTCCAGAAATAAGACACCACAGCTTTGTTGCACAACCACTCTTACTCCTCAACTCATCCCCAGCTGTCTTCTAGTTCCTACCCATTTCTTCTGGCACCAAGTATTTGTTGAGCTCCTAAGGGCCAGGTGCTGTCAGGCAAGCTGTTCTCTGGACCATAATCTAGTATCTCCCTGGCACTTAGCTATTCAGTGCTACTGGTAAGGCACGTGTTTTTATTGCCTAAGCTATATCCAATTTCCTATATGTTTGTACTTCTTTCTCTCATTATTCTGTATTTTCTTTCCTCAAATCTGCCCAATAGGTAGCAAACCTGTACTGAAGATATATCAGAGAAAAAGGGGATGATATGGGGCTTACCTTCTGATGATCTCTGGGTGGTGTCACTATACAATGGAAGTATGTCCTAAAAAAAAGAAAGGCCCAGCGGGTGGGCAAATTCTGTGAACTTTGCCCCTACTGTTTCATTCTTCCAAACAAAGCTTTCTTGGCTTACAATTAGTGGCTTCTTCTGTTTCAATGGCTTAAACTGTCTAGCTAGAACAGATACTGCTTCCTTTGTACAGTCTAAGGAGGATGACCCCTGCCTGACAAGGGAGCTTTACCATTAACAAAATTCTACAATCTAACTTATCTATCACCCTGGACCTTAAAGTATTTACTGCCTTAGTCATGTTAGACATAAAGAACTTACTAACTATCAAGGAGCACAAAAAACTCAGTAAGTGACTGACAAAGGTGTGAAAGGTCAACCTGTAACGAATCTTTGAAGATTACTGAGGAGTATTGGCCTGGGCTGACTAACGTAGCCAATGAGGAGGAAATTATGTTGACAGTGCTTTACTGTTTGAAAGGTACTCTCTATGTCTCATTTAATCTTTCAACAACTCTGAGTTACAGTTATTACCCCCACAGTATAAATATTACCCCTACAGTATAAATGAGGAAATAGAAGCTCAGAGATCTTAAGTAATTTGCCCAAGCTACATGGCAGGTAAAACAGTATACCAGGGCTTGGACTCAGGCCTCCAGGTTCCAAGCCTAGTGTTTCAGACTCACCACTGCACGGTGCACAAGTACATTGACACCAGCAGTGGCAGCGCCACACACATACCAGCCCCTGTGCTAAGGACATGATCCTACTCTCCCAATATCCCTATTGTTGTTTTGTATTATGATCTCCATTTTATAAATGAGGAAATTGAGGCACTCAGAGATTAAGTAACTTGCCCAAGATCTTAGAGAGTTGGTGAGTACTAAAGTTGGGATTTGAATCCAGACAGTTAAAGTAAAACATTAATGGTAAAATCCCTGACTAGAATAGATACAGAGATGTCTCCTTTCTGGGATTTTCCACAAAGCTGCTGAGATAGACCCTTCTCAACTGACTGGGAATCCCTCACTTAAGCCTGACTTTAATTTGTACTTGAATTTCTTTGAGATGACCCATTACCTGAAGGGTGGGTGGTAAAAAAATGCTACCAGGTGAGCAATGAGTAAAACTAGTCTAGGAATATGTATCAACTTCAAGGAAACGACTCAGAAGTGGGTAAGTTATCAGGAAACTAAAGCAGACACTGATTTCTTTCTTACTCATTTCTTTCCATTGCAAAGGTAAGCTCTTGGAGGACAAGAAACATGCTTTTCTTTATATGGTATCCAAGTATCAGCGCAAGTGTTCAGCCTTTCTAATGCTGAATGAAAAACTGCTGACCTTTGTTTCTTTGTAAAATACAAACCACTTATTAGCTCAGCCTTGGGTCCTGGCACAACTCAGGAAGTCTTCTGTCCTAACTTTCTCCCTAATTCTACCCCCAGTCCACCTGCATGGTGTCCTTCCTAGAGCTGTGCCTACCATCACTCACCACTAAGCCACCAGTCTCCTGCTGGATCTTCAGCTGTAACTGACTGACTCGCCGCCGGGCACCTTCAATTTGCTCTTCCAACAGGCTGGCAGGGTTCCGGCTATACACCTCACAGATACGCTGGGGAAAGGTGAGGAGGAGAGGGAGGAGGAAAAAGGCAGAGGGGTGGTTAGTACAGAATGGATGACTTACCAGTGGAGAGAACAGGCAGTTACCCTAAAACAAAGAGGTGAAAGGAGAGATCTCTGTCTTCTAGTAGATGTACATTATTTCATCATTATTAGGATTAGGAAAAGGTATAAATGATGAGAAACAGAACACATAAGGCAACTGGAGAAGAAAGACAAAACACAAAGGCCTGTCCAAATCTGATTCCATCCATCCAAGTCCAGCTTAAGTCTCACATTTTAAGTAAGGTCATCTTCTTTGACTATTACTCAGGTGTGAAATACTTAAATCACTGTCTAGGCTAGCACACAGAAAAGTTCTAAAGCAGAAATTTATAGATAATGAAAACCAGAGGAGAGACGAAGAAGTGCTGATTGGAGTAGCCAGTTACCCCCGCTTCCCAGCCCCATTGTTAGGAGCCACTTCTAATGCTCATCTTGTGCCCCTCAGCACACAGCAGAGCACAGCACAGTGCACTGAAGCCTGGACTCTGCAGTCAGGGAGATCTGGCTTTGAATAGTGGCACCTTCACTTACTAACCATGTGGACTTGGGCAAGGTTCAATATGTCCTCATTGATAAAATGGAGATGACAATACCTGCCTCATGGAATAGCTGTAAGATCTCAATAAGATTATGTAAAGTGCTTAGTAGAGTGTCTGGCACATAGTTACAATGATGTATGAATACATGGCAGCAATTATTATTTTACAAAAAGAAATGCTCAATAAATCCTGTTGGTTTAATAATTAAAGATGTTGGATTCACATATTAGTTGAGTTCATCTGGAGCCTCGCTGTTAGTTGACCACCTTTTTATAAACTCCTTACACTTAATATGTCACTTCCTCTATGCCTATCAAGCCTCCAACATTCTCTGTTCTGTGTGAGTTACCATGAGATGGCCCCATGCAAAAAGGGATGGAGCTGCTGTCATCTGTAGGGTTTTTACTGGCTGATTTTCAGAAACAGATTGCCAGGACTTTCTTCCTAGTCTGTCTCATTCTGGAAGCTCTGCTGAAACCTGTTTGGTATCATAGCAACATGAAAGCCTCCACCAACAGGTGAGTGGCGACTGCACTTGAGGGGCAGTGGCCAGGAATCATATTCGGGTCTCTAGCACGAAAGGCAAGACTTTTACCCTGAACTACCACTGTCCTGTTACTCCACTTCCAATAATCACTACCCATTCTTTCCTTCTGCCTCAGAAGAGGACTTCTTAAACTCCTTATAAAGGCTTATTTCCAACTACTTCCAGGTTAATCCTGGGCAATGTTAACATATCTTCAAACACTCCTTTTCCAAGGGCTCCTTCCCTTCATTTTATAAAAATGTTCAAATTTTCTGTCTTAAAACAACAAAACCTTTTCCATCAATTCTGATTACTCAAGTCACTGCCCTGTTCTTCAATTTCTCCTTTCATAGCCAAGTGTTTCACAACAGTGTCTGTATTTATACTGTACGTAGTCCTCAACATACAATGCCCTGCTTTCCTTTTCATTTCTGCACGACAGTTCCTCTTTCACCTCATCCCCAAACCCAATGGTTTTATCTTAGTCCTCATCTCGTCTCACCTCTTTTGAATTCTCTCCTCCTTAAAGTGTTCTTTTCCCTTGACTTTCTAACTCTACACTGTCTTGGCTTTCCTCATATCCTGACTTCAGCTTCATCTCTGCCTCCTTTTCCCTTGCCTATTCTCTTAAATCTATGTTAAGTCTTCAGTTCCACAAACATTTACTGAGAGCTAAATATATGTCAGGCATTTGTGTTAGGTGTGGGGACTACACAAATATACAGCTAAGAAGCATGGTTCTTGCTTTTAAGGAACTTAGTCTAATTAGAGAAAAGGACAAGTAAACAATTACAAATATAATAGTAAATGCTGTGATGTTACAGGTTGCTGCATTATGTCTAAAATTCCATCTTCAGCTCTCTCTTCTTTTCTCTGTACTACTGCCTTGGGTGATCTCATTCAGTTCCTAAGTTCAACTACCACCTGAATACTGACATTCCTGAATCTCTATTTCAACCCAGCCCTCTCTCCTGAGCTTCAGTCCTGTCATCTCCCTATCTCTGGTGAGCAGTCTTTATCTGAATATCCCATGGGCAACTCAAGTTCATCCAAAGCTGACTTTTGTTTCTTTTTCTTAAACCCTGATTTTCTCCTCTCTCTTGCTCCATCAAAGGCATCAGCATCACGTACTCAAGTCATCTAACCTTGAGGCCATCTTTTACTCTTTTCTTCTCCCTTAACTTCCTCTTCCAGTTGATATGCTCTACTGATTCAACCTCTAAGATGTCTCTCATTTCTGTTCTTACTTGCACTGTTTTTGTTAAATCTATCATTTTTTACTGCACTACTGCAACAGCCTCCTAGATGGTTTCACTACATCAATCCTCTTAATACACTTCTTTAAAACACAAATTTGAATAGAAGGGCAACAGAAAAAAATCAACAAGACCAAAAATTGGTTTTCTGAAAAGCTCAATAAAACTGACAAACCACTGGCAAATTTAACAAAAGAAAAGAGGGAGAAAATACAAATAACATGAATAAGAAATGAAATGGGTGACATCACAACAGAACCAACTGAAATAAAAAGGATAATATCAAAATATTATGAAGAACTGTACTCAAACAAATTTGAAAATCTGGAAGAAATGGACAGATTTCTAGAAACATACCACTTACCTGAAATACAGACTGATGTAGAAAAGGTGAACATATCCATAACAAAAGAAGAAATTGAATAGGTCATCAAAAAATTACCAAAAAGAAAAAGTCCTGGCCCAGTTTCACCATAGAATTCCACCAAACATTCAGAGAAGAACTGACACCAATCCTACTCAAACTATTCTAAAACATAGAAAAGGATGGAATCCTCCCTAACTC